TACTCTTATATCGTGTCGTTTTGATTTTGCCATTAACATATTACAAATTTAAGTCTAGACAAACCCACAGTATAAACCTAAATTCTTCGACTCTTAAGTAAATTTGGGATGTCTAAATCAATGTACGAACAAATCATCAAGAGATCAATTGTTTTGTACCGACGCAGGAAACGGATTAATGGTATAGGAACACTCAAACAGAGCCATCATGTGCCCGTGGTCTACAGCACTTAAATATATGAGATTGAAAAGGGAGTTTGTAGAGAATAAATCCATTCAGGGGAATCACTTAAAAAAAATAATTTCATGTAAATTGAAACAAAACTTCTCTTACTACTTGCCTTGCATGCCATATTTACAAAACTAATTCAATTGGAAAACGGTGGGTTTTATGAAGAGCCACCTGTGATTGATTTGGGCGCATTAGAGCCCAAAAAAGAAAATAATATTTATTTATGTATTATTTTTAAAATTCATATAATGACCAATAGATGAAAAAGTGGGAGAGGTTATTCTCTTTAAAAATAACGTATATAATACCCATATATGAGGAAAAAAGGCTCCCTAGAAATTCAAAACTACTAAAATTTCATTATCAGGGAGCAGGACCATTATTATTAAAATCCAACTCCAAAAAGCGCGAATCGTAGTCGTTGTGAGATTGGTCGTCATTGAAGCCCTCAAATCTGATTATTGCCGAAAAAACCAAAAACAACACCATTAAAGACCCAAAAAAAAAAACAGAAAAATGACAAACATCATCATAAAAAAGAAGATTCCGTGAAGGATACTTATCCAACTTATGAGAAAAACGCTCGCTCCCACCGCCCTACAGAATCCCCCCCCCCCCACCGCCCTACAGAATCCCCGCCCCCGCCCCCCCCCCAACAAAATATCCCCCCCAACCCCGGCGGGCTCCCACCGCCCTACAAAATATCCCTCCCAACCCCCGGCGGGCTCCCACCGCCCTACAGAATCCCCGCCCCCCCTACAGAATATCCGGCGGGCTCCCACCGCCCTACAGAATCCCCCGGGGGGGGTTTTGCCAACGCGTTATCGGGTTCTTTACATCTAGAAACTCCTCTCCCTTTCTTTAATATGGCCGTGTACCTAGCGCGTGTAGCATAAGTTCGGTCCTAGTGATTCTTCTTCTCCGTTTTTTTTTCTTTCAAAACAAAAAGGCTGGATAAGTCGTAGTGATTCTACTTGCGTGTGGTATTGGATCATGAAGCCAAGAGATCAACGGTTGTTCTCTCTATTTCCATCACTTTCAAAATAAAGATAACTTAGATATTTAATTTTATATATATAATATTTTTATCCAATTAAATTAGATCAAGAGAATTTTTTTTGACCATTAGATGAAGGGAATTTCAAAGCGCTAATAATAGTATTTGTTAAAGAATAAATAATCCATAAAAAAATGGGAAAATGACAATAAAATACCACTTCAATTCCAAAAGGACAAATAAGGGACCTGAATAAGCAAAATGACAAGGAGGTCACTGGGAACCAATCTGGAATTAATATTTTCGGCGAAAAGACCGAAATGCCCTTAAGATGTTTGAAACTTGAGGAGATGGAGAAAAGGCGGAAACCGACTCCTCGGCGAAAACAACACCCCACTCGACGAAAGAGGAACTGCTTCCACTCAGCGAAAGCAACCCCCACTAAGTGAAACAGGAACTAGAACTACCTCGCCCAGTCGACGAAAGCAACCCGCCGACCCGACGAGAGCAACCCACCGAAACAGAAAGTGCCCCCACTCGGTTTGAAAGTATGAGTTTGGTTTGGACTAATGATTAAATAGTATTTCTGGACTTTGGAAGTCCAAGGCCCAAGTTAATAATGGATATTTCTCATGACATAAGTTTATTCCTTTTAACCATGATAGTGGTTTTAAAATTTTAAGGTTTTTTCTTTCTATCATGGTTAATCTTTCAAATAAATTGTTTGATTTAATCTAAATAGGTTTTAAAAGAACGGTCATCATAATCAACCAAGTCTTATAATAAGGACCGGAATAGTATTACATACTCTCAAAATACAATATAATTCGCGGCTCTTCGGGTACACAATGCCTGATTGGAGACAAAAGCAATACAAAAAACAAATCAAAGACAACATTTAGGACTATATTTGTATATATGTATGTACTCGAGCATTTAGGATAGGAGATTATATATTCTCCACCGTCAAATAATCTAAATATATAATGTCAATATCAGTATATGGATTCAGAATATATAACAGTCAAGGTTTCTTGGAGCTGTTTGGCTCAACTGACGTCAAGCCTTCCTAACTCTTGGCTTAAGTAAAATGTTACAAATTTGACTTCCCTTGAGTATAATGGGTGTGTGAGTTCTTTCCATTAGGATAAAGAAGTCAATATAGCAGTGGTTGTGTAGGCTCTTGTATTACGCTGACTTGAACAAGGAAGGTTGATGACCGGATGCATGTTTTTCATTCGACGTAGGTTAAACTTTTAACAATAATGGCCAGATTTGATGAACGGGGTTTAAGTATCTAGCAGAAGAGGCTGGTCTCTCAAAATGTAACAAACCAAAGTTTGAATCCTATTAAAAGAGGTGCCTACATTTAGTACCCAATTGTATCTTGAATAATATTGCCATTAGTAGCAAGATATGTGTTTAGCAAAAATAAAGAAATAAATAATACACAACATTATTATAATACGAGATAGTGACTTCTGATTATAAAGTCGCCCAAGTTGAATAGTTTAGTTTAAAAAAAAAAAACAGCATTAAAAGAAACAAGCTAAGTTAGTCAATTAGAGTATAAATCTTTTGAAGCTACACAAAAGTCAGTCAATTATTGGAACCAGTAATCCCAAGAATGTTCATATCTCATTTAGATAGTCTGGATTTGATTTTTTTTAATTCAAAATTACTTTAATGTGTATAGAATCCAAAACAGAGATAATATCTTAACTAGCATTCTTTCAAAACAAATTTTTTTATTTAAAAATAAATAATTAAAAATTTTAAATCTGGATCGTTCAAATTAAATATAGACGGTCTAAATTTGATGAGCTTAGAGTGCTAATCAAGATGTGTACTAATTTTGATTCCGTCAATTATAATTTAATTATGATAAAATAATAACTTCCGTTTGAATGATATATACATCAATGACGAAGAAAACTAATTTCCCATCTATATAAAGAAAATATTCAAAGTAGCATCAAATATCGACGCTGTCCTTAAACTTTACTCCCTCCGTTTCTTATTATAAGAGACATTTGATGCTTATGGCATGTTCCCATATATAAGAGACACTTAAAATTTGTCTCTAGTTTTTTGTATTGATTTCCTATTTTACCCCTATTTATTTTGTCTCCTACTCATATTCTCTCTCCCTCCCACTTCTCTTTCTTTTAATAATTTAATTGTTCTCTCTCATACTCTCTCTCCTTATTAATAGGAGTATTGTTGGAAAAAACATTATACTTTTTACACATTAATTGTCCTAAACTAATTTTAACTGTTTTTTTTATCAACGTAATTTGGTTATTTGTCTCTTATAATAAGGAACGGAGGGAGTAATATTTATCAATCAACTCCCTCAAATTCGTCTTAATTGTCGATCTGGTCCCTCAAGTTTGTGGCAACTTCTAAAATGAAGGAAAACATGCACAATGATAAAAGACTTATTAGAGAAAGAGAGAGCGATGATGAAAAAGCATATTTGGTTTAAATGAAACATGCTCTAAGAAGTTTATAACAATTTAAACATAAAATTTTGATTTTGAATTTGTCTGAATATAGAAATATTTTTGAGAGACTTGTCTCGAATTAGACTCTGACAATGTTTGCATTTAATTCAAATAGTGCGGGCGGGATATCAGATGTTGTATTTTTATTTTAAAAAAAAGAGGGTCTATACAATTATCAGTATGCTTGTCACTTAACTACAAATGCCGGCATGCATTTGCCCATAAGAACGGTCAGATTAATTAAAAGGGAAATGATAGCAATGTATAAGATTAATAATTCCGGCAAAAAAAAATATAACTAGTAATTATTTAGCTCTCGAGAGAAACTGTGTAAATTATGAAGAAAGAGGAAAGAAGAGCTATTGAATGGGTCAAATATGGAAGAGGCCAAAATTTCCACACTTAGACAGACGACTTGCCCGTGAGCAGGACCACCTAGACTTTTGCTCGCTTTTAGTTGGAGGAAAATAATCTCAACTTCATTCCTTTCCAAGTTTTTTTTTTGGTAAGGCCTTTCATAGTTATTTTCAAAAATAGGAGAACAAGTTAACTGTATACATTTAATATTTTAAATTATATCAAGTAGAGTTTAAAGTGCCAATAATATTAGTAATATTAAAGATTTTTATAGAACAAATAACTTATTAAAAAAATTCACATGCCAAGATTTTACTATGGACACAATATATAGCACTGATTAAGTATACAAGTTTCTTTTCTTAAAATTCATGATAATAATTCAATTGAAATTTATATATGAAGTCACTTTATTTTTTTAATGATATTTTTTGCCATCTTATGAGTTGTAACTTGTATAACCTCGTATCAAGGCGTTTTAGACATTTAGAGCTCGATTTATGTATGGATTGATATTTCTTCTGAAAGCCTCACATTTAAGCCTTAGAATTTTGTGTGTATATGTGTTATATAAACAAAATAGAAACTTAAAAGGAAACCAATCTGGACTTAAACCTAGGATTTAAAGATGGAGGATATTGCAAAAGAAGAAAGAAAATTTTTTAGTATAAACAATACAAAAGTGGAACCAAGTAACCTGGAGAACAAGAAGCCAATTGGGAGAGACTTGGATCAATTATTGGCTATCACAAGTTCGTCAAACATAAAAGTGTAATACAAACACAACTCAAGGATTATAGCAATATCAAAATACGATGAATTACGTAAATATATATCATAATATAAAAGGATCCAACCTTTTTCTTTTGAATAATACGGGGCCTACGCCCAAAAAGGATCTAACCTTTTAATTCAGCAAGTTTTCGGCCAGAGCGGTAAAGAGTGGGGTTGGATTTCCAAATAGAACTGATATTATAACGCTGAAACCAATTTTCGCCATTTTGATCAAACCACGAGTGAAAGATGACATCGGTGGCCGCGAGGAGCCTCTTCTTGCCAAGGCCGAAGAGCTTGTGGCTGATGTGATCAAGCTTCTATGACTTTCTAAGCTCATACTTCTTGATGAGCTTGCAGGCTCACCTCTGACCAAGCTTCTTCCCCTGGAAGACGAAGACGAAGAAGACGAACCAACATTGAAATAGCCCCTTTCCCAATTATCCAGAATCAATTTCTTCACACAATACACATGGTAGCAATAGTTCCCGCAAGAGGACACGTAGGACCACCCTCTGAACGGCCCTTTGCTCTGTACTTTTAGATCCTTCCTCTTGCATTTCACACACTTGGAGGGCATTTTGTCCTTAAGAATCAGTGTCACCCTACCATAGGGATCAGACATGGTGCTCTTAAGGTTCATGCAACAAGGGTGCAAGTCAAGCTTGTGTTTGGACTGATCATGATACAGGAATCCTCGAACGTCCCTCCCACAAGCATCGCACAACCGGCGATTCGGTCCGCCGGCAGGTTCCCAGAGGAACTGGAATCTACAGCTACCCATGAATGGGTGGATTCTGGATCTGTCTGTACGGGGAGCCTTGAAACAGTCCTCGTGCAGGACAAAGTGACAATTCATTTCACATGGTACCTAGGGCCAAACCCCAGTTCTTTGCATCCACTACATTCAAATGGATTTGTTACGTCACGTTTCAGCCTCATTGGGTGGTAATGCCGTGGGTGATTCATTGTTTCTCCGAAATCACTTTCTATTTGTCGATGATATTAAGCTTCTACGTTACTTTCATTGGGTTCTTGAGGAGCTCATTATATAGTGTTATTTCTGGTCAACCTTGGCTTCTTGAGCTTATATGTCTCTCTTTTCATACGGTTGTTTCACATACTCAGTCTTTTATTAATGTATTACATACCTTATTCAAAATTCGATATAATTCGGTGTCGAAGATGCCAACAAGTTTCTTCGTATATAAATACGTTACTGATTGTTAGGGCTGATAGCATTATCAGATTAAATAAGCATTTGTACCTAACTGCTCTTTGGCGCTATCATTTCCAATCAATTATATAACTATATATAGTTGACGAAGAAGGTACAGGGGAAATTACTCGTAGCTCTCCATTAAAAAAAAAAAATTAAAATATCAGCAGGTTCTAAGGAATTTAGGTTTTTACAAATTTTATCTATTTGGCTGATAGCTGTGGCGGTTGCGCAGGATCTTATAATACATTGACTTCGGCAAGGAAGGTTGATGACTTGATGTATGTTTTTAATCAACGTAGGCTAATCTATTGACAATCCTGGTTACATTAATTAGTTGACCCAAAGCTAGTTGTTGAAAATTCAATTTGTTCCTAAATATAAGATTTTAATTTACTTTGCATCTAATATTTATCAATTTCAACTGCAAGTAATCTCTATAATGATTGCACATATTAAGAAATTTTCATAAGAGATAGTTTCAATACACATGATTGATTGGGATATTTTAGAGAAGACAACATAAATTTATTATAAATAACTAATTTAACTAATTTTTTAAATATATATAAATTAGTTATCTAACTCTTATATTAAGGACTGGAAATAGTGTGTATATATATGTAAGTCTTTAACTGGGCTCTCTTTTGCAAATTAACTACCCAGAACACGTGAGCACATTCCAATTTCCATGCTCATCTTTTGATGAATATGGAGTGTTCATTTTAATTTGGACCATCCAAATTGATATTGAATGGTTCATATTCAAGTTAAATAATTTTTATATTTAAAATAATTTTTTATTTTTATAGATATATAATTTAAGATAAAGATAATTTTATAACTAACACTACTTAGAAAAATAAATTTTTTATTAAAAAATTTTAAATTAAAAATTTTAAATCTAAGCCACCCAATTTCAAATCATATTTTGAATGGTTTATATTTCAGAGCACATCATATGATAAGCACTAAACAAGGACAACCAAAGCACTAGGTTCGCGCAAGCTAGCCAGTAGCCTAGGGAAGCCAGTTTTGATGCTTGTCGCAGTGATGAGCATCATAAAACTCATTGCTGTGGTGAAATTTATACTATTCCAATATAGTTTTAGTGGTCTAGATTTAATTTTCAACTAATAATTTTTAAATTAAAAAATTATTTTTTAAAACAACTTATAGTTAAAAGATTATATTTATTTTGGATTATCTATTTATTAAAACAACATTTTTAAAAAAAAATGAAAAAATTAAATTTCAGCTGTAAATATGAATGGTTGAAATTTGATAAGTATCAGATGAGCACCAGAACTGATAACCTAGGTTGGGGATTCGACTGGGTCCGTTGGCATGTCCTTGAGTGGAGACAATGAAGTGATACAAGATTCAGAATTAATAATATAAGCAAAAATTTTCCTACCTAATAAATAATTTTAGTATTCCTAATCTCTTTTTAAGGTACACAATGTAGCACAATTGTAGTATTTTAAGTTATTTTATTTATCTGATTTTCTGTTTATGCATTCGAACGATATTCCAGAGAGCTCGATTTACGTACGGATCGATATTTCTTGTCAAAGCCTCGCATTCGAAACTTAAAAATCGTTTATACAAGCACACATACAGAATCAAAATTCAAAAACAAATCAATGTGGACTTAAAACTGAAGTTAAAAGGTGGAGGATGTCCCGCAAAAGAAAACAAAGTGAAGGAAGTTTTATTAGCGTAAACGGTGCCGAGAGAACGCAAAGCCAATTGGCAGCTGAGACTTGGATCAATTATTGGCTATCACAAGTTGATCACACAAAAAGGAGTGATACAAACATAGCTCAAGGATTATAAGCAATTTAAGATAAAAATACCGTTACGCAAAGACACACATATATAATGGATTCAACTTCAACCTTCAATCCAGTAAGTTTTCCACGAGAGAAGCTAACGGTGGAGTTGGATTTCCGAATGGAACTGATATTATAACTCTGAAACCTATTTTCTCCGAAGAGCTTGTGGCTGGTGTGATCGAGCTTCCATCACTTTGCACGCTTCTACTTCTTGATGACTTCACAGTCTCATCGCCGAACCGAGCAGAAGAAGAAGAACCGCCATTGATGAAGGCCGAAGATGTTGTGGCTGATGTGACCCAGCTTCTATCACTTTGCACGCCCCTTCTTCTTGACGAGTTCGCAGCAGTCTCACCTTTGAACCAGCCTTTTCCTCTTCAAGGCCAAGCAGAAGAAGCAACATCGAAATAGCCCCTTTCCCAGTTATGCAGAATCAATTTCTTCACACAATAGACATGGTAACAATACTTTCCAAGAAAGGACACTTACGACCACCCTCTGAACGGCCATCTGTTCTGTACTTTCGGATCATTCCTCTGGCATTTCAGGCACTTGGAGTTGAAGGGCATTTTGCACTTAAGATTCAGCATCATCATCCTATAATAGCCAGCAAACATGGAGCTCTTAAGGTTCATGCAACAATGATGCAAGTCCAGCTTGTGTCTGGACTCATCATGATACATGAAACCTCGTATGCCCATCTGACAAGCATCGCACTGCCGGTGGTTGTGGTGGCCGGGAGTTCCCAGAAAAACTTGAATCCGCAGTCACCCAGGAATGGATGGGTTTTGGGTGGGTCTGAAGGGCGAGCCTTCAAAAAGACCTCGTGAAGGACGAAATCACAATTCTTGGCACATTGGTACCTTGGGCCAAACCCTAGTTCTTTGCATCCACCGCACACAAATGGCTTTCCTTCGTTTCGTTTCAGCCTCATTGGGTGATTATTCTAATGCCGTGGGTGATCCATTGTCTCTCTCCAAAATCACTTTCTCTTTCTATTTCTCACTGAAGAGCTTCTATACCTTGAGACTTTCATCTGGTTCTGGACGAGTTTATATGGTGTTATTTCTGGTCAACCTTAGCTTCTCGAGTTTGTCTCTTTTCGTACTGTTCGTCGCCTCGATTTCTTTCCTCAAGTTTTCAGTTTATTATTAAATCGACTCGCATGTTCGGTCTTTTATTAATGTTTAATGCATGTTTTGAACATGCGTTATATATAAATACACCATTGAGCTGTCATTAAAGAAGCATTCGTACCTGATCATTTCTTTTTCCTTCTTTTTTTTTTTCCCGACGAGGTGTACCTAATCACTTCTAATCAATTATATACTCTATATGGTTGACCAAGAATATATAGGAAAAATTGCCTGTAGGTCTTACGTTAAAAAATTAAATACTAACAGCTTTTAAGGAATTCAATATTTACAAATTTTTCTTGTAAATATAAAATTTTTTTATACACGTCTGTATTTATTTATTTTTTTACTTGAGACCTATAAATAATTTTCATATGTATTTATGATTGATATATGGCAGTCGTTGTGTAGGCTCTTATATTACATTGACTTGGGCAAGGTTGATCATTTCATTTGATAGATGTTTCTTTAATTAACGTGAGTTATTAATCTGTTAACAATCATGGTTAGATTCGTTGAACCAAATTAAATAATACTAAAAATTAACAATACATACGCCCCTGACCCCACACCTATTTACTTATTACACTATGTCGGCTCTTTATAATAACTTATGTAATAAAGTATGTTAAATTAAAAATTCTCTTATTAATAAGATTAACATGTTGGCGTTTTACAGTAATATTTTCATAGATATTGAATAGATCAAATCAACTTATATTGATCTCAGTTTAAAAGCGGCACAATTTGAAATGAATATAAATAATAATATTCCAACTTATCCTATTGATTTTTTTGCTTTTGCGGGCGTATTTGGATGCTCCAAACAGCTCTTTCCCTCATTAACTGTCATATTGATTTCCCCAAAAAAAAAATGCGGAAAAAGATGATTAACGAAAAGGTAAATACTATTTGCGCTAGTGCTTCATTAAATCTTATTGTCTTTTCCTCTAAAATTCATAAAATAAAATTACAAAACAAGAATATAAAAAAATGAAAATGAACTTAAGATCATGACTAATTCATTTTCACATGACATGATCGAGCACTGAAAAATGATAGACGCAAAAAGACACAAAATGCCGTAAAACGCATGACGATCTGATTAATTAATTAGCCGCCAATTATCATATTTGCAAATTATTCATAAAAAAATCTACTTAAAAACATATATTTTCAGAATTATATCGTTCAATAAAACATAATTTTTATTTGGGGAGTCAAATATATCGATCGTATCTGCAAGCAAGGGACTTTATATATATGATGAATTCATTTATCAGTCACCCAAGTTTGAATAGTTTTGTACAGAAAGCCAGAGTTAAGTAAATTATAATGTTTTTGGGCCAGAAGTCAGTCAATGTAATTATATAATTTAGTTATGATTATATTCTTTTAGGTTTGGTTATTATATACCATTCTCTTTCCAGCC